AACATAATCAAACTGAGTGTGTATTTCAAACAGGTACAGCATACTTCTGCTCCGCTAGTTGCAAACCATGTTTTTCCTCCTTCTATATCAGATGTATATCAGATTACCATATGGTCTCACCTTTGAATTAAACAATTCACAGATTTATATGTTAATGATATATTTACATCTTTTCAATAGCTCTAAGAATTTTTTTTTCTCCCTAAACATCATTATTTTATTTTCCTGCAAATTCGTAGCTTTGTTATAAATAATGCCCAGTTTCCTGACCTGCCTAATGAAACACATCTCGATCCAAACTGCTGTAGTTTGCTCTATGTAAGATTTGACTTGTCTAATGCCAGTCATGTAAAGATTTGAATTCACTTACTTAAGTTTTCTTGAGTTTTGTCCTGAAGATAAAAGGCTAATGCTAGCATGCCTTCCCACGAGGGAGCCAAAAACAGAACTCAGTCGTGCCTTCGTCCTGAATACACTTTGCTCTTTTTTTGTATTTCTGTTGTTGCCACAGGTATGTAGAGGGAGTTAGACATAAAGACCTACCAGTCTGTTACATTCTACTACAACTAAATAATAATATGACCCTGGCTCAAGAGACTACAACAATAGGGAGATTAAGATTAATAAAAAAATATTTTTATTAAACCAAATTGGGAGACTCAAATTAAATGTTCTGAGTATGAGGTGTTGAAAATCAGTAGTGTGTCATGTGCATGAGCGAGCTATGTGAGTTCAAGTGTTGTAAAGTGCAGAACTAAACATAAGCCTTAAACTAAGACACAACCAAATCCAGAAGATGTTCCCGTGGAGAGGAGCAGAGAGAGATTAGTTGGCAGACAGGATTTATATACTCTGAAACAAATGCCACAGGTGTTATACCACAGGTGATATACTAATCAGCTGCAAACAAAGAGACAGGTCAGAGAAACGATCCCAAACCCCCAAGAGGACCCCAGGGGTCGTCACAATAAAGTCTAAACTATTGTGGGTGGGAGGCTGTGAGCTGTGTAAGAGACAAAATAAGAAAGATAATCTGTCCGGTGGTGGCTCACCTGGTGGAGCATATGCCATATGGGCTCACTCCATGACCGGGTTCAGGTCCAGCGGCTATTTGCTGCATGTCGTCCTCTCTCTCTCTCTCTCTCTCTCTCTCTCTCTCTCTCTCAGGCAAAAGCCTGAAAAAAATATCTTAAAAAAAAAGATAGTCTGCCTCTTCTAACTTTCTCTCTGAGTGAACATTTTACAGTAAATACAGCTGTGTTTACATGTTTGGTGACTTTGTCAGATTACGTCACAGTTATAAAATCAGGATTTGACCATAGGCAGTCCAGACATACACTAGGTTTTGACCTAGTCTTGTTATAAATTGTATTCCTAATGACACATTTATTTTTAATTCTTCATATTGAACTTTGAGGGCTGGAACATCATTTATAGGAACTGCCCAGTTTGAAGGACCAGTTATTATAATTTCATTTTGTTATTTCAGGCTGGTCATTTATCATTACTGAGAGTTACAAAAAAAAAGGAAAAAAAAAGCCTTTTCCAACATGACCGGAGGGGTGGCAAGCCCAGCAGACGCACACACACACAGCTCATGTTCTTTTTTTGTTGCAACAGATGAGTAAGGAACCAGACACCCAGTCCTGTCCTCTGCCTCTTCATTCAACTGCAGAACACAACACAGTCAACACCAGGCGTAATAATCACACATGGGATACAAAAGCACAGCTCACACACACACACACACACACACACACACACTTGGGGCCAGTGAGTTCAAAGTTCAGTTCATACAGATGAAAATGAACAAGTTCACATTCATTTATTCTGTTTTTGTTTTTTTAAATAAAATAGGCCGATATTCTTTTTCAATAGAACCTCCTTCTACCCATCCATCACCAGCGCCAAATCATTGCCACTCCCAACTAAATGAATTATTGTACACCACTGAAGAACTACAGACATGAGTTACATTTAAAATCCGTATATAAATATAATCCATCTGAGTCTTCACTAGTTTGTTCATAAAACTGCTTCAAATGCTCAAACACCAGCCATGCTGGGACGTGTCTATGGAGGTGCCATGCGGCGTGCTGTGAAACTGTGTAAAACGTGAGCTAAAACTGTCGTAAACGCTCACGTTCATCATTTGTAAACTGATTCGTTCAGTCCAGCATGTAGCGTTAACGCCATATTTTAGGATTTACTCTCGTTGAAATTGCTTGTTGATACCAGGAGCTCAGATCTAGGATTCCACTGAAACAGCGGATCTACATTCTACTTGTGGTAGGATTGTGTCGGTCCTCGTGACTGATACAGCTCGAGCTCACAGCAGACTTGGAGTGCTCTCTGACTAAACAGACTCTGATAAATCAGGCTTCAGTCTGATTTGGACTTAAACTTGAATTTGAGCGAAACAGCATTTATTTTGATCATCAGACATTGACCAGAAATTGAAGAGTGACTAAGTCACACATAAGGACAATTTATTTTATGTTTAAGGGTCATTTTGTTATTTTTCATATTGGTGAAAATTGTGTTGTTCTGCATTCTGAAGAGAAACTAAAGCTGCAGTTAACTAAACTCATGCCTCTTGTGTTTATGGTGATTGTACTCCAAAAAGGAAAACTTGATGATGATTAAAAGTTACAAAATTACTCTGAGGCTCTTCTGTTGCTTTGGTTCAGTTGGTCTTGACTTGGCTTATAAAAAATAAAAGATTGCGCATGTAGACAAAATTTTGTTACTTGGAGCTTGTGGCAAAGAAAAATAAAAGACACGAAAAGTGCAAAGATGACTAAGAGCCATGAGTTTGTGGCTAGGAGCTCAGAGCTAAGAGTTTACATGCCTACAGAGCCGGGCTCTGAGGCGGGACTCTGAGCTTTGAGCAAAGATCTCAGCTTCTAGTTTCTGCATCGTTTCTCGCTTCTCGCATCTTCTTGTCATCTGGGTTTCTCTGACTTTTCTTTCTCTTCTAGTTCTCCTCTGAACTGATTTTGGAACTTTGTGACTTGTTCTGCTCTGTGTGAATTGATCACGACTGTTTTATCCCTTGGGGGCGGGTGCATGTTTCAGGGGCATCCCCAATCTCCTGTGTTTCCACTTGGAGAAGAGAGTAATTTCCCACTGAACTTTGGAATAATTTAAATCTAGAGTTTACTTATAAATTCGCACATCCGTCTTCCACCATGACCACAAAACATTAAGTGAAATAACATAGAAAACTACTTGCACTAATAATGGCAGAGAGGAGTAATAGGAGTGTTGATTTCATATTACATCCTTCAAACCTGGAATTATTCACAATACAAGTGGTTAACTGATCAAACAACAATATAAACATTTCCTAAAGCTAATAGTCTATAAATGTGGATTACACAGCAGTTCTTTGACTGTAATAATAATAATATGGACATTCTGGATGTCATGCAGTGTGTGTTATCTACATGTTACATTTCAAACATTCTATGGGATAGAAGTTTGGGATTAAACTATTGCATAGGAACATCTCATGAGTTACAGAACAGTTAGATATTAAATTTTACATTCTTCCTGAGATCTGTGTCTGTGAAGAGAGTTCTGCTGGTCACTACCCAGGATTGGAATGTGGGTTGTAGTTTATGACTCTTATCTAGAGAGGGACAGAGGAAGGGAGGTTGGTGTGTGTGTCCATGCATGGCACAGACAGGCCAGGATTCACACCTTAGTGTTAATCAGTCCTTTTGTTGTTACTTGTCCTATACAAGAAACAATCAAATATCAATAGACAAAGTCTTATTGTTACAAACTGGAGATTTTGCCTGTATTCTCCAGTTGCCTGGTGTCCATTGGTTGATCCTCTGGAGCTGACCCTTTGACCTTTGGTCTGGTTCTGTGTCGTTCGGACATGCTAAAAGCATGGTCCGTTTGTGGAAGAGGGGTCCTTTGTCTCTGTTTCCTATCAATTTGATAGTTTGATGGTGGGAAGAGTCGCAAAGTGTCAATTGTGGGTCCGTAACTCTGCATGTCGGTACAAAGAATTTCCTTAATGGCTTGTGACTGATGCCAGGCCACGTATGTACGCTACAAGCATTCACTAAAAATATTAACATTGAATGCGTTCATCCAGAGCACTGCTTGGGGCGCGCTGACATACACACACACACAAACTGAGACAGTCTTTACTATAAACAGCAGTGCTATAGAACAAGGGCTTGAACGCCCTGCTTTAGTGAGGCAAAATCACAATGTCCTTAAAGACACACAAATTTAACTGCTGTGCAATAAAACAAGCCAAAAAAATCTAATAAACACAGCAGCAGCAGATAAAAACAATAGTAATGCAACAGCAGCATAATTCTAAATACATATTCCTCCCTACAGAAGTTTTTCCTCATGTTTTTTTTTGAAAGAGAAGTCCTTGGTGAGGTTGGTAAAATCCATTTTATTCACAATGTCACTTTCAACAGACATCAGAGACAGTTGATTTGGTCTGTTTTAGCCCATAGTGGACCTCAGTCTATAGTCCCAGTTTTGAAAATGAACGCTCCCTGCTGGCATTGATTATAGGCAAGGTCATTAAACGGGACCCTTTTCCCTCATTTGTAGTGTGTTATATAGGTTTTTGTGCATGTGAACGATCTACAGAGTGACAAGGATCACTCTGTCAGGGTAAAAACCTAATTTTCTCCTTTGTATGAAACGCCTCATTGGGGGTCCAGACATTAGTTCCTGATCCTATTGACGTCAACATGTCTCTTGGTGCTGCCCACCTGCAAGCTGGACACGCACTCACACAAGGACTGCTTCAGAAACCATACACAGTTAGACACTTCATTTTCACAATGGTTATTTCTTTAAAATAAGGGGGGGGGGGTGTAATGTTTAACCTCATTACCGTGACCTGATCACGTTAGTAAGAAGCAGCAGGGCAAAGATATAAATGCTTAAACGTTTGTCAGTATTGACATGTTGTACCTCTTTAGCTCAGATAAATTATACACATTTTAACCACTTACTTGTTTTTCAGCAACAATGCGCACTAAAGTTGAATTAATTCACGTTTACCGGCATCGTGAACCAGCAGGAGGTGAAGCAGTGGAGACTCCTTACGTGTCAATCATCTGTCAGTTCCTCCATTATTTATATTTCTTTAGTCCGGAAGTGTCTCATAAAAGTATTCCAAGTTATGAATATTGTCATCTGAAGTCTTTGCAGACTGTCCAGTGTCTTGATTCACAGCACTCTTCATATTTCTGCCTTTTCCCTCACTCCGGCTGCCTGACAGTGAGTACGCTTGTTTTCTGCTCCAGTCCAGCTTGTGAAGGTGGATCGAGTTCTCAAGTTAAGGATGGGACTCTTGCGCAAAATGATAAGGCAGAACCGTAGCAACCACAACTGTTTGTTTACACAAGACATGCTTAAAATGTCGTTGCCATGGTAGTTATGGTAAATGGACTTGCACTTACATAGCACTTTTCTAGTCTTACTGACCACTCAAAGCGCTTTAAAACACTTGCCACATTCACCCATTCACTCACATTCATACATCACACTTTTATGCACAGTCATACACTGATGGAACAGCCATCAGGGGCAATGTGGGGTATCTCAACCAAGGATACTTCAACAAATAAATGATGATTTGATGTCAGACACTCTGAGGAACAAGTTGTACAGGTTGATGGCCACAGGCAGGAATGACTGTGGTGCTTGATCAGCACACCATGGAGTGGGTGGGAGGTGTTGCCTAGGATGGTCTGTAGTTTAGACGGCATCCTCCTGTCTGACACCACCGCCAGAGAGTCCAGCCCCATCCCCACGTCACCAGCGTAATGGATCAGTCTGTTGTCAGTTTTTTGTGTTACAACTAGGGTTGCAACCTTTTATGCTAAGAAATGAGGGACACCCGTTGTCCGTAAGGGTCCACAGATTGAAACAATCAAGAGAGTTTCTCATAAATGTATTCTAAGTTGTAAATATTGTGATGTGAAGTCGATTGCAGACTGTTGACTTTATTTGCATCACCTCATCACATTTCACCCCCTTTCTTGCCGTCTGACTGCCTGGCATTGGGTATGCTTGTTTTATCTTTTCTTTTTAAGATTCAGTAATTTCCTTAAACAGCAGAGCCCTGTAGTTTAGAGAAACTTATATTTATTTATCATGACAGTCAGGTAGCCTGCACATCATTCATTTTATTATTTACACCTGTGTTTTTCCTACTATTAAGGGTTCTATTTTAAAGATGAATTAGTAATATAATGTATGCAACGAATATGAATAAACAGGCTGGTGTACAAGGAAACAAACAAAATTGGAAATATGTCTGCCAGTTTTAGAGCAGAATATTTTAAAGTCAATTTGTCAGCAGACTATTTGAGAGACTGCTAAGTAAGAATTCAGGAGTAGTATGTAGTAGATTAAACAAATATTAGGAGAATAATTTGGCATTGCACTTGAGGGACCCTGTAAGGCCTTCCCTAAAGCTTCTACATAAGAGGCTGATTAGTGTGAGAGCGCTTTTTACATCCTGTCCCTGTTGTTAATGGTTCAGCAGCAATTCCCAAAGGAAAGGCCTATGGTCAAGAGGAAATACACAAATTAGAACCAAACTGTGAGGGAAAATGAAAGAATGTTTCTGATGGCCGAAAGGTAGAAGTTAAGGGGGGTTTTATTTGAGCTGCTGAGCTTTCTCATTTCCTGTGGAATGAACACCCTTGATTTTTTTAATCAAATGTGTTCTCCTCTTAAGGGTAAGAGTGAATCCAGCTTGATACAGCTGATGTAAGGATGAAATCATTAAAATTTGTTGGAGAGCTGAGCCTTAGTAGAAGAAAGACCAACTCAAGGTGTCTCTTAATATCCCAAAAAGCTTGATGTTGGCATATCAGCCGACAGTTAAAGAAGCAAGCAAAGCATTTCCATTTTTCCAATTTGATTGCTAGTAGCTGTCACAACCCCAGTTTTATTCCAGGCTATCAACTCAGTGATTAATCCTCCTCCCAGCCACCATTTGGAAGCATCCACTGAGATATGTGAGCAATTTCTCCACCACTTCTTAAGTAAAGTGAGATACAAGACATTAGGCTCCACATCACAGCTGTACTGCTAACTGCTAACTAACTAGCTAACCGTCTGCTCCTGTCTCAAACCTCTCCAACTTACAGCGGATTTTGCACAGAGATGATAAATTAGTGTAATTTGCTCGTTTACTTGCTACAACTGCTGCCTCTTAACGCTTAATGTGTATGTTTAGTTTCCACACAAAACAAAACAAAACAATAGCCCGAGCGGGTCTTAGCAGCTTTTTTGACCAGTGGAAAAGGGGCTACAGATACAAACAGCTGGAAGTCAAGCTACAAGAGGGCAGTACATTACATGATGAATGCAAACAGGCATCAAGTCCTTTATGGGACACAAAGCTGCTCTGAGATCAGATGTAATATCACTTAAGTATCTTTCTAATTTATGTCTATTTTTAGCTTTAACTGGTCAGACACTGCTTGCTTTGCTTGCCCTGATGGCACACCACTGATTAATCTGCTTCCTTTGGATCAGATTATCCTTAGGTATAATATTAATTTCCGCTGCTATGTGGACTTTATGTTCCACTGGCATTGTCAAAGACAAATTTCCTCCTGTTATGGCTCGTCTCGGTCATGTCAAGCTGGGTTTGATTTGGGTGTGATCTTTGATTCTGAGCTTTATTTTGACATCACCAAGGTAGTACAATCACACTGTCTCCAACTTAACAGAACAGATTTGTAATGAATTCAACTGTATAATGACACTGTATATGTGAGCACAGAGAGGAGAGAAGAGAACAGGTAAAGGACTGAAACTGGCAAACACTAGGCAGAATACAAGTAGCCTAAGAAAAATAATATAAGCTAATATAAAATTTTACTAAGATAGATAGATAACAACAAAATCTGATTAAAGTTATATGATAGAGGAAGTTGTGGTTCTCTATAAGAGGATTGTACAGAAAACTTACTTTTCAGTACGGTCTGTCTTTTCATTTACAATGGATGTGATAAAGGAGAGGGACTAAACCAGAGAATAAAACATCTACTTATAGCTGTGTGTGTGTGTGTGTGTGTGTGTGTGTGTGTGTGTGTGTGTGTGTGTGTGTGTCTGTGTGTGTGTGTCTGTGTGTGTGTCTGTGTGTGTGTCTGTGTGTGAGGGAGAGATCCATGAGTCCATTTGAGTCCAGATAAATTCTGACCTGTGCCCTGCCGTGCAGTGTTCAGCTGCAAGGTGATGAAGAAAAAGCATCATCATATTATCATATTTTGCAGTCAGTAATCTCGTTACACATGCACACCAGCTTGTCTTAATATTTCATTTCCATATGCTACATGCTATAAATGGAAAATGCTGCTGTGTGGACAAAGGTGAATATTCTTCATGTGTTTATTTAACTGCACTGAAACAACATTTTCAGCATATAATGTATTATAAAATGATTTTATACGTCCCTGGCGACGTTTCGTTTGGCTTCTTTCTTCGTAGCAGACATAAGAATTCATATGACGACTCCTAAATAAGATTCCACTCTATATATTCAAAGTTTCACAGTTACGTGATGAATCTATGTTGACACAACTTAAGCTCAAGTGCTGCTCCAACATATGTAGGCTTACAGATACCATATAGTACTCTGTTGTAATGCTTTTCAGTTCAAAGACTGTGCTTTGGAGTGAATGCAATTATCAAGCTTAAAGATGCAAGAAACCGCAACATCTTGAATAGGCTGCAGCTCAGAATACTGTATATGCTGAGAGGCCAGGCACAATGAGTCTCAGAGGCATACAGAAATAGTTGTCTGTATGGCACTGCCCTCTAGTGATGATGATATTTTAGAGGTGTTGGCTAGAGCGTTCTCTCACTTGACTTCTTTTTTACAGCAATGATTTATTGAACAATGTCAGAATTCGCAAACAAGATATTATCATTATCATCAGTGCAAGTTAATAATGTAAGGTTGGTGACGTTAGGTAGCCAATATGTTTTCATTTTAAATCACAGTGGCTGATAGCTGGTTAGTTTACTACCCACCTACATACTACCACCTCCTCACTGGCAATAAGTCCGATATTTGCACACGATGTGAGCCTCCAGATAGCCCTGCCCCTTCAGCCAATTAAATGCTAGCATGCCTTTATTGGTTGTCTTGGAAACGCAGCCTCTGGGAGGCAACATCGGAATTATCTAATGTGTCTTCACTCCAAACTTTGTGTGAACATGTTCACTCAAATATTGGTAGGGACAATTCTGCCCTCCCAGAATTTTGGTAGGGACAAACTCATGACTATCCAAGGAAAATATGAATGGCTTAACCATTGTCTTGTTTTACCATTTGACCTACTGGAACCAATACAATCGTTTTTCATCCTAAAATCTTAGCATCACAAAACTCCTGCCACTGAACATCACTTTTATTTGTGTGACATCATTGTGTGCATGTTTGAAAGTCAAAGAGACACTGGCTGGCAGGTGTCCATGGGATGTGGCCTGACAAATGAACTGGACCAAGAAAAACAATAAGTGATTCAAGTAAATGTAAATTGTCCAGCCATTACAAATGTTGCATTTTAATAAAGCCATGTTGTCTCTGATCACAAAGTAAGCATTGACAATATCATCTTTAGTTTTCAGGGAAATTAGAGCAGTGTCCCACATTTGCTGAAGGTGTTAACAAAACTGGCACAGTATTTTCAGATGAAGTGGGACACTTTCGAAGCTTGTTTACTGCTGTATTTCAGCAGCATTGTTACCACCAGTATTATGACCCATATTTAAACGTTTTATTTTCCCCAAAGTTTTTGAAACATTAAAGTAGATACTGTAGTTTTATTCAACAGGTGGCTCACAAGCTACCAGTAGCTCACCTCCTGTTTTAGAGTAGCTCACCCAAAGGTTCTGAGAACATAGTCTGAACAAACCATGGATGCATAGTTCAAACTTTAAGCAACACAAAATCACTCAGTAAATCTGCATCAAATGCAACTAAATAAAATACAGTCATTCAACACCAAATCATTATCTGTCAGTTGCCAACATGCAGTGATAACAACTCCTCTGGTAACAGAAGAGTTTTCCAACAAACAGGAAATATGTTGCCGTGGATACAGTGAGTTAAACTGTGGGCCCTGCTTTTTTTTTCAAAGCAGATTTATGGACGTTTATTTGCAATGGTGTAATCATGTCTGTGTGTTCTGTTCTGACTGAATCATGACTCCGATTTTTGACACAAAAATGATGTGACACTGATGTGAGTTTCAGGTGTTTTTGGTACAGAATGTGAGTTTTTGATATTGATATTTGATGACTTGTTAAATTATTTTATTGATCTCATTTGGTTTGGAGATCAGTTTGAGTGTTTTGATACTATATGTTAATAAATGTAACCAGAAATATAAGACACGTAGAGCTCTCAGAGTAGAAAAGGTTGGAGAACCCTGATGAAAGCTATATAAAATCGCTTTTTTAATTGATATGATATTGATATGATAAAATATACCCAACCTTGCTTGCCTTTAAACTAAGTATGTAATAGCTCGGCTAGATAAATAAATAGATAAATTAATAGATCCGCAAATATGTCAAGGAATGTCCTCTGACGTAGCCTTTCTCGGCTCCTCTCTCCTACGTCATTACGTCTTGTTGTTGGTGGAGGGGCGGGTGCAGTGCATCGAGGGGGGCTACAGAGCAGTCGCAGCGAAAGCAGCCGAAGGATGCTCGTCTTTCAGGTGAGATTCTGCGGGAAATAATCATAATTAATCTCAATTAACGGTAGACACACGTTCCTGGGGGTCTACCGCTTTACAGATGAAGGGAAGGACATTGACAGGAATATGCAAACAGGTCAGTAAATGTTCACTCCGACACGTAAGCTAAGCAGCTATCGTAAGCTAAAATGGATAGACGTTAATGTGTGTTAGGTTTGAGTAGGTATATAGGCCTATAAACTACCCAACCGGGCATTAAAGCAGTCTAATGCGGGTTTTACTGAATTTGACATTACCAGCATATTCGTATACTTAACCTGGCTAAAGATTACGCCGCTAGCTTGTTTGACTAGCAACGAAATAGAAACTTTTCATCCATTGGTACAGGGTGAGCTGGAGACCTTGCATGAAAAACCAAATCAGTATACCTACTTTTTTAAATCTGATAATAGTAATAATGTATTTGAATCACATCAAATATCACAGCTTGTTGCACAGAATTTTAAAGGTATGTGAGAATACGGTCTTAAATACGTGTCACAAGGGTATGATGAGCACTCCAGGTCATCCTTCAGTGACCTCTCCATCTACTCAGTGATCTCTCATACAGCTCCAGTTAGTGTGGCACTGAGTCAGACTGCAGAGGCATGCAGCTCTGTCCATGTTTGACCTCTACAGTGACAAGAGCTTCGGAAGACCAACACACCTGCTCAGCTTTCACCTCTAGCTTCCTGTCATAAGATGTCTGTATTAGTATGCCCAGATGGCAAAGTACCCTTGATTGTTCTTACCCTGAAATATCTGACTGACAACTTACTTTGATTTAATACAATTTAATATTAATACAATGTCACTTCAGTATTGAAATGTGTTGTTGTTGCTGCATACTTTTGTACCCTTGTGGACGTGGTGTTGTGCACACTAGTTTATTATTCTTCACGATTTCACCCAATCCAGAAAAATTATGTGTGTGAAACTACAGGGCTGTATTCACAGTGTTATGAATGAACTGTGTTGAGTGAGAGAGGAGACCTTCGCAGCAAACTGCACAAACTAGAAAGGGCGCCCGCTCCGACCCACATGGTGACATGGTGTCATTGATGTGATCGTGCAAATCTTAACATTTTTTTTTTTATTTTTCATTTTTTTGCAAGTGCCCCTGGCCGCCCCCAACAAGCTGCCCATGTTGCCCATATCTAAATCTGCTACTGGATGCATGGTTATATAATTGTGTTCAATGTGAGGAAGTGTCATTTGTAGCACAGACAGGTTTTACTGTAGAACAGGTAAGCTCAGTTTCAGTCAGCATTTCCTGTATCAGATGGTTTTGTCATCATTTACAAATGTGCTTTGTTATGTTCATCATCATTAGCACCTGCACAGGTGCAAAGCTCACAATTACTCGCAATTCATTTGCTTCAAGTTGTGCAAGTTGCAGGTTTTCAAGATGCAAATGTACAAAGAGCTGTTGATAGTTTCTACTCATTGTTTTAAGAAATGAGTTTCATTATTAAAATGTTATGTAGGTCCACTGTGTAGACCTATGAATATTTGCTTATTCAGCTTGGGCTTTGGCAAACTTGATGGAAAACTAGCAATCTGAACAGAGATTGTGGTTAGCATATTGTCAGTGGTTAGCACTGTTGCCTCACAGCAAGAGGGTTGAGACCCGGACCTGGGGCCTTTCTGTGTGGAGTTTGCATGTTCCCCCTGTGCCTGTGTGATAGACTGGGGACTTGTCCAGGGTGTACCCTGCCCTTGCCGAATGTCAGCTGGGATTGGCTCCAACCCCCCCGCGACCCTTTAAAGATAAGCAGTACAGCTAATGCATGAATGAACAGAGAATTTTTTTTCTTAGAAAAATGACTCTAAAAGATTAACCGATGTGCCCATCACAACTTTCCAAATCCCATCCTGATCTCATCAAATTATTTGTTCAACCAACTCTTAAAAACCAGAATGTATTCAGTTAAGAGTAAAAAAAAAAGAGGAGTAAATTCTCAAAGTTAATCAAAGCCATATATTCACCCACAAATAAAATGGTGTTTCCTTCAGAAATTCTCTTGAGAACCAAACTATGGACTCTAACCTGCAACTCTCCTGCTCCTCTCCCCCCAGCATGCGGTGACTGAGGCGTAAAGGCGCAGTGTGTCCGGTGGCGGCAGCAGGCATCTAGCTTAGATGAAGGATGAAGAGCCCAGTGCACAGATGCAGGGATGTAGAGCACGGGCGTGGGCAGGCCGGGGATGGGGCAGGAGTCAACTGCCTACAGACTGAACAACGCATCCCTATCTCCAAAGACGTTATCACTTCCTCCTCGGCCTCCGCCATGTGGTTCATCAGGGACGCCTGCGGCATCGTGTGTGCCATCATCACCTGGATGCTGGTGTTGTATGCTGAGTTTGTAGTGCTGTTTGTAATGCTGCTGCCCTCCAAGAATCTGACATACAGCATTGTGAATGGGACCCTGTTCAACATTCTAGCCTTCCTTGCCCTCGCCTCGCACCTCAGGGCCATGTGCACTGACCCTGTAAGTTGGGCTTTTTGGGGTCATTTATACACACACATTGAAATGAGGTGACAGGCTGTCTTACTTTAACCCTCAATGTCATGCAGAGAAGATTTGGGTCTTATCTTTAAATTGTCCTGAATAATGAACCTGAATTACAGTACATTTAGCCTCTGCCTATTTATTTCATTGTGATAATTGATGAGCTGGAAATGACTTAAGTCGTCTTCTGTGTTATGATGTTTCCTACCAGGGGGCAGTTCCAAAAGGGAATGCTACTAAGGAATACATAGAAAGCCTTCAGCTGAAACCAGGGCAGGTGGTATACAAATGTCCCAAGTGCTGCAGCATCAAGCCTGACCGAGCACACCACTGCAGGTAGGGCAAAAAGGATATGAAATTCTCACTGTGTACAGGTTGATGCTGTGTGTTTATATGGGTAGTTTGCTCCTCATACATGCAAAACCTCAATGTCATTCTATTAATTCTGTCTCACTCACACACACATTTTTTTTGTCTTTATTCTATTAGATACCCTATGCAGTTATCTCTCATTTTTCTCTCACATGTTTGTTGTATCTTCTGTTATGTGTTTGCTCCAATCTATCTCATTATTGTTACATTTGTCTTCAATTGTTTTGTGTCACTTAATGAAGTAAGAAAAAAAAGGATAACACTGTCGGTAATGTAGTGACAAGTCTCACACTCATCTTTAATAATTAGCTAATCGTTTAAAATCATCATCACTTTGCAGTGTATGTAACAGCAGCGTAAAAGAAACTTCTGAAATTCAGAAAACCCAATCCCATGCTTAAAGCTGCAGTGTTTTTGTAGAGAAAAAGGAAGACTATTATAATACATATTAGCTTCAGTTCATTTGTGAAATTGCTCCTCCCCAGAATGTGATGCCTTTCACTTTCTACTAATGTTGTCCCTTGCTACGGTTGGTGCAGTATCCTTTTTTCCTTCACGTGTAACTTGCTCGTCTCTCTCACAGTGTTTGCAAACGCTGCATACGGAAGATGGACCACCACTGCCCCTGGGTCAATAACTGTGTTGGGGAGAACAATCAAAAGTACTTTGTGCTTTTCACAGTAAGTTCACTGCAACAATGAGTTTCTTATAATATATGCTGACCAAAACATAGCATTAGATTATAAACTGAAGAAGGCTGCCAAAGACCAAGTTTCGGCCTTTGACAGTAAGAAGTTGCCCTAACATGACCTCTCTGTTTGCAGTTGGTGTATGTGGTGAATTGTCCTTCATTGTGTCCTCTTTTTTCATTGTTTTTTTTTTTTTTTTTAACCTAGATGTACATTGCACTCATCTCTCTTCACGCTCTCGTCATGGTGGTCTTCCATTTCCTCTACTGCTTTGAAGATGATTGGACAAGTGAGTGTTTTTTAAAGCTCCATAGCCCTCAATGTCCTTCACTCTTAAAAAGAGGGAAAGAAAAAAAGGCTGTTTTAAGATCTAAGAACGGACATTGCATTTCACTGTAACTTTCTCAGAATTTTTTATATTGTGGTGCAAATTAATATAATTAACATAAAACAATATATAAAGCTTTGATTTTGTTAAAACCAAGATTTCTCTCAGGAAAATTGTCTAAGAAAAGGTGATAGTAATAGTGGAAGCAACCATCCTTGGGGGTTGTAGACACTTTTTATTTGGAATTTTTACAGCTGTAAATTAAATGAACATAATTCAATATATCAGCGTTTCTGAAATTAAGCAAGGAATCATGAAATATTTTTGTTGAATGAAATGTAATCTAAATTTTTTTACTCATTCAGCAGATTAACACATGTTGTTTTGTTTCTTTCTACATTGGAAATCAAATATTACTCAGAAAGTTTGTTCCGACACTGTCGCAGAAGTTCCCACAAATGTGTTGCACTTCGCAGGTTGGGTTTGCTTTCACCGTCTGTCGAGTTCATTCAAAGCCTGATCTTTAAGAGTAATTCTCCAGATTTCATTTGTCAAAGATATACTGAGGTTTTGTTCCCAGGCAGACTTAAAAAAGAAAATCAGAACCATCAGTTCACATCCGGCTCATAAAGTTAAGTGAGAGAGTAAGACAACTTTGACAATCATCACCTCCTGAAGTTCAGTATGTTGAGCATTGTTCCATTCAGCTTTGTCAGATACTTTGGATAAGTGCTGTGTCCATGCAGCCAAGGTCATTCATGCACTTACCTTGACATATCCACAATGTCTGGGATCAGCGTGGTTGTTGATAGCTCTCTACATATTTCCGAGCCTCCACCATAGAAACAAGCGCCTTCCGCTCACTGCTGGGATGTGCAGCCATGCTGGATATAGAGGGGATGGCTTAAGTCGTCTTAAAGGACAACAGTATATAATTGGCTTCTTCAAGGGATTTGTTGATAATAAGAATAGAAAATAATTGCATTGTTATACTGTTAATTTAGGAAAAGTAGATTAATAATTTATCCTTTGACCCACCTAGGTTCTCTCCACAGCTATCAAAAATACAGTATTTACAGGTGTGAATGAAATACTCACATTATTGCTGCACTCTAGTGTGCCCTCCCTGTTCCGCTGTAGTTTGACGGAACTGGGTTGCACTAAAAACCTTCATAAGTTGCGTGTGGTTGACGCATCCCCAGACTGAGGCACATACTTGGTCGGCAAGTAAGTTATATTTTCATTATTGTGTCGTGTGGCAATGTGCACTGATACTGGCAGGGTAAACATTTAAAGATCTTTGTGAACCTGTTTTGCTTGTTAATCCTGGTTGCTAATGTGCCAAACTTTATGTTACAGCTTTATTATAGATCACTGTCTTTGACTTCTTCTAGCAGCTTAGTTGTATTTCGATTTTGTTAAAACTGACATATATGTGTGTGATCGGAGGCACATCAGAGCAGTCTACAGAACTAACATTTAATTACAGTTAAAAAAACTAGATGAAATTGTGGTTAAAGATGGAAACAAAGTCTACCACTCATAAAGCAGCAACCCCAGACTTTCATTCTTTTTCCATTGCAATTTCCTGTTGGACTCACTGCCCTTAACTACTCTCTACACATAAAAGGAAATTGTTTTTTTACTTTTCTACATTTTTTGTACAATTTCAGGTTTCCCACCCACAATTAAATCAAATCCCACTGTGGTTGTCCTCAGATGTAAATATCCTGTATGCACTGCTGGCCCTGTGAGTATAGACAATGGCCGGCACAGCACAGGCAATGTAGTTAATGAGCTGTACTAAATAACTAGCAGGATGTTGCACCAACTGATTGTGAATTTGAGAGTGAAGTCAACACTAACTGCTAAAGTTGTAACTAGTTATTTTGACGCTCAACTCCCCACTATAATTAGCTGCAACATCTCTACTTACAGTACAACATAACTAGGTTGAGTCTTATCAAAGAAACTTGCTTTTGCTGTACAATGTTGTCCTTTAATTTTTTTAAATTTTATTTTACAAAGGTGAAGATGACTGTAACACATAATTAGTGTCAGGATTAATAACTTCATTAACATCCCCTCCAAGTTGATGTAAAAATACTTAGTCCACCAATGGGTTGATGTTTTTGTTAAAGACAATCATTTCAGTTCAATTTAATTTTTATAGTGCCAAATTATAATATACATTATCTTAAGGCAAAAACATCAAGGGTAAGGTCAAGACCTACAAGACCATACATTATTATAGAGAGAAGCAGCAGTTCCCATTTTGAATGAATGCATCTTAATAACTTTATTTATACAGCACCTTTTAAAAACAGAGTTTGCAAGGCGCTTTGACAATTGAAGCAATAATAGCAAGAGGCTCAAAGGTAATATAAACAAAAGCAGGACAGAGATAAGGTAAAGTAAAGAGGGAAGACATACAATTCACTTCAATGTAAAAAGGACAATTAGAGAGACTAGATACAGTATAAAAGCACACACACTAAACGCAATGGAAGAACCGTAAAAAGACGATATCACATAAAAGCAAGTCTTGGTAATGGGTCTTGAGAAGTGATTTAAAAGAAGTCACTGACTGCAGGTTGTTCAAAAGTCAAGGGGTCCTGATGGCAAAAGCACAGTCACCTTTAGATTCAAGCCTCGACTTTGGAACGGCCACGAGGCCCTGACCCGGACCCGAGGATCTAAGGCTGCGAGCTGACTCATACAGAGTTAACAGGGACTATAAGCAGCAACGGTTGAACTGACGGCTTTGGCGCCTGTATATATTCCAACATGTTGCCGTAGTAATGGAAATCAAAGACCACTAAGCAACATTTAACTCGGCTACTTCACTTCTTCAGGAAACCGAGGTCGCACTGAACATTGCTACAAATGTCTCTTAAAATGACCCGAGAGCTCTTGATATTTGCTTTAGAGACGATTTAATATCAAATGAGCAGTTTGTATAAATCCGTCTGTTACTTCAGCACCACGGGCAGCGTCATGGTTTCATCAATACACAGAGGATGGCAGGTGAACAACAGTTTGTGCTGACGTCTGAATAAACTGGAAAAATCTGTCAAATTATCAGGTATCTTTAACAAACATACTCAAAATCCATAAAACTACTAACGGTATAATTGAATATAAAGAAAATGACAGTGTCACATATTACAAAAACGTATAATTCTTCTTTCTCCTGCAGCAGACAGCTGGGCTGCGACGGTAGGAAGGTTCGACATAGAATCTAAGTCACTGCGTCACGCTATAGCTTCCCTTCAACCGTCGCTGCTTAAAGTCCCTAACAGTTCTGTTACGTAGTGTGGTGCATGCTTTAAAAGTGATCAGTAAAATCTTAAAACCAGTTCTAAAACGGACAGGGAGCCAGTGAAGATAAGCGAGAATTGGGGTGATGTGATGTCATCTGTTAAAACTTGTTAGAAGCCGCGCTGCTGCATTTTGAAAGAGTTGGAGGCAGGAGAGTGATTTATGGTTTATGCTAGAGAGAAGGGAAACAGTACATTTTTAAGTAATCTTAAAAATTAATGCTCGAGTTTATTCCAAATAAAAGATAACTTTCTCTTTTAAAATGTTTTTTTTGTTGACTAAGCATGAAAAATCAACAAACTGATAAATCGCCATATCCCAAACACTCTACCCATTCCATTAAATTGAAGCAACTTGACAGGTGACTAGTGGATGTACCTGTAGACTGAATTGCTTCAAAGCTTTGCACCCTTACCGTAGTGCTGTTGATTGAACAGTAGAGTACTGTAGTTTCTTTGATTGTAGTGTAGCAGTTCCTCATATGATCCTTCTTCTTTGCCCTTTCACTTCTCTTCCTTCATGTCCCTCCATCCCCCAGAGTGCAGTTCCTTCTCCCCCCCAGCAACAGTCATCCTCCTTATACTCCTGTGCTTTGAGGGTCTCCTCTTCCTCATCTTCACCTCTGTGATGTTCGGCACCCAAGTCCACTCCATCTGTACCGACGAGACTGTAAGTGAACCATTTAGTGACCAACAATCCTCCTCCTATCCTTTTTAACTCACTACTTCCTTCTGCTCTTCAGATTTTCTCCCTGCTGCTTCCACCCTTTGCTTTTTAAACGTTAAACGTCTTTGACCTTCTACTTCTAATTCAAACTTTTACAGCTAAGTGATGCTTCTCCCTCTGCAGCCTGAGGTACAGTGCACTAAGAAAGTATTCAGATTAGGGATGAGCGATATGACTTCAAATCAATATGACTTCTTTTTGTTTGATGTTGTCTTCACTGAAGCCAAAATGTTCCCAAATGACAGACACAGCATTCTTTATAGGTAGAAGCTGCTTGGGTTGAGGCTCAGTGTTTGTGCTTGTGTCATCCATATCACCACTTTGACTGAACACAAGGCAGTATTTTTCACAATTTTCAGTATCAAGTTCACAAACACATTCATTTGGGAAAGTATTAATTGAATTAAGCAGCATGAGCAAGATGAAGTCAGTGAGAGGTTCTAAATGTTGTTTTGCCCAGCCCTAATTCAGAATTTTTTCACATTGTTATTTTGCAGCTTTATGCTAGAAAAAAATCCCTCATCAATCTGTACTCTATACAACATAATGAGAATGAAAACAGAATTGTAGATTTTTTTGCAAATTTATTAAAAAGAAAAAACTGAAATATCACATTGACATACACATCACATAAATATTCAGACCGTTTGCAGTGACACTTGAAATCTAGCTCAGGTGCCTCCCAGTTCTCTTGATCATCAATTGATTTGAAATGATTTGGTAAGGGACACACCTGTCTATAGCTGACAATGCATATTAGAGCAAAAATCAAGCCAGGAGTTAAAAGGAACTGCTTGGAGAGCTCAGTGACAAGATTGGGGAAGGATAAAAAGCTCTTCTGCTGCATTGAAAGTTCCCAAGAAGAACAGTGGTCTCTTTCATTCTTAAATGGAAGAAGTTTAGAACAACCAGGACTCTTCCTAGAGCTGGCCGCCTGGCTTAACAGAGCAATTGGGAGAGAGGGGCTTTGGTAACAGATGTGACCAAGAACCTGATGGTCACTCTGGCTGAACTCCAGCGATCCTGTTTGGAGATGGGAGAAACTTACTGAAGGACACCCAATTGTTCAGTCTTGGTTTCATCACACCAGAGCATCTTGTTTCTCACGGTCTGAGAGTCCTTTAGGTGTTTTTTTTTTTTCAAACTGTCTCTCAGGAGAGGCTCCACCTGTCACTGCCATAAAACCCGCATTGGTGGAGAGCTGCAGTGATGGTCGTCCTTCTGGAAGTTTCTCCCATATCAACACAGGAGCTCAGAGTGACCATCAGGTTCTTGGTCTCCTCTCATTCTCTCTCCCAATTGCTCTGGTAAGCTGGGGCGGCCAGCTGCAGGAAGAGTCCTGGTTGTCCCAAACTTCTTCCATTTAAGAACTATGGAGGTCCTGTCTCTGAGCTCTGCAGCAGCTCCTTCCTCCTCATGGTTTCTGCTCTGATGATTGTCAGCTGTGAGACCTGATATAGACAAGTGTTTGTCTTTACACATCATGTCCAATCAGCTGAGTTTACCACAGGTGGACTCCAGTCAAGGTGTCGAAACATCTCAGAGATGATGCAGAGAAATGGAGTAACCTGAACTAAATTTCAAGTGTCATAATAAAGTGTTCATTGGGTCTGAATACTTATGTCAGTGTGATATTTCAGTTATTCCTTAATAATACAATTGCAAAAAAAGAAAATTGTCATTATGGAGCATTGAGTATAGATTGATGAGGAAATAATGAATTTCTTTGATTTTAGCACACGGCTGCAACATAACAAAATGAGGGGGGTCTGAATACTTTCTGAATGCACTGTAGTAAAAAGTACAATTACCCTCAAGTCTTTATTTTGACCATTAACGTTGGTAACTTCAAATAGTGAGTGCCTCAAATGTAAATGTGTGGTTTCTGTGACTGTGGCATTCACAATGCTGATGGTACGACCAGTGTTTAAAGCAGGGCTTCAGACTGCGACCAGAATGGTCACATATACTTATTTGAGTTCAAATTTCACATGGTCGTGTGCAAGTGCATGATGTTCATTAGGCAGAGGAAACTGATGAGGAGAATGCAGACTGCAGAGAGAGACCAACTGAGCCAGTGAAGAAGAAATAGATCTTTGTGCCACAATGGCTAACGTATTACCTTTGGTTGCAGTACGACAGGAATGCTATGCTGTGTATGTGTTGTAGGCATTGTGGCCCTTCCACTTCCGGCAACTCTAGATTTGTTACTGGGTAAATACAGTTTAAGTTTGAAACTTTTAAGCTGCACAACAACAGTAAAAAATACTAAAACTACAGGGACTAAAGCATCATCTGAAACACTGAGCCCCTCCCCACTTCTTGTCACTGAGTAGGAAAGAGTGATCGCTCAACGGAGGAGAACAAACTGGTCATCAAGTTCAACACTCATACTACACCCCCCCAATGAAATATGTGATTTTAATCATGGTAACAGTCTGTTTCATTTGGTCGCCTATGCACACGCGTCAGCGTTGTGGTTGCCTGCCAGAAACGTCAAAATTGACCTTCTTCTCTAAAACCGTAACATGTCAAAGTAGCACTTAATATGCACTTTTGGTGCACTTCCTTATAGAGTCTCCTTGCACTTATTAAATAGATGTAGTACTTAATACTTACACCAAGGTTTCCTACTGCACTGAAGCATACTGATGTCCTTCACCTGTAAGTCGCTTTGGATAAAAGGTCTCCCAAATGAGTAAATATAAAAATGTAAATCTAGTTTTAAGCTACATATACATTTTACACCTTGGTTGTTTTCAACTATATATTTCAACCAGATTAAGGATTTTAGTCATTGGATGTTCTTACATTATCTGAGAAAAAAGCTGAGTAAATGTTAGATAGCTCAGCTCCCAGCCACTAGAGACGTCCTGTGTCCACCGAAGAGCGTCAGTGAATCACTGATTTTTGACGTGAAACAGTTTTATTCTGTCTTTTCTGCCGGTTTTAATCCCCCGGTCTGCTTGTTATGGAGAGGAGGACACCTCTGTGGATAATTCAGCTCCCTGTAATTGATTTATTTGTGGTGGCCCGCCACAATATTGACATTGACTGCCCCCTATTGATTTTCTTTTTCTTTTTCTTTTTTACTACGTCAAATGGGTAAAACCTTATTTCATTGTTGAACACAAACAAGTTGTCAGAGTCAGATGGGCAGCCAGCTGCAGCACTGGGAGAAATCCCACTGCATCAGTGGCCCATCAAAGAATCCATAAAGTTTTTTCCCTCCCTGTCTGTCTCTTTACTAGCCCTCTCTATATGCCTGTCATTCAGAGTGTGCAGAGCTTTTTTAAGTGATGATTGGTGCAAAAGACTCGGGTTAGCAACCTTTGCCAACACTGCAGAATGTCACCATGTCACATGATATTTAAACTTGCAGGGGAAGGGGATGGGGGGGGGGGGCGTTACGTTAGATTACATCACGTTATGTTAAGGCACGATACGGCACGTTATGTTACCCTATTAGCAAGAGAGGAAGAGGAGTGAACTAGTGTGTCCCGTTTTGCTGTTAATTTAAGCTGATTGATTTTGTATTTCTGAACCTTCAGTTTTAGTTCAGTATCATCATTGTGACGATTATAATAATAAAAAATGAAAATAGACATAAAAAAGACATTTTATTGTTAATGTCTCATTGTATCTCTTTATTGTTGAAGAACACATTAATTGATAAACTTTCATTGCGCCCCTAAATTTCTTTATGCGCTCCTAAATTTTTAAACTGAGGGTCAAGTGATCCTTGCAACAAAAAAAAAGTGAGCGTAGAGCTCTGCTTGAAGGTATATTTTTCTTGTCTGACAATTGCAGTTTCTGTATGAATTCTAATAGATTGTGTAGGACACTTAGTTCTATTTATTAACTCCCTTTGAACTCAAAGTGTAGAGTAGAGCCCAGGGTTTTGCCTTTTGGTCAGGAGTCATTTTGGGTAACTATCCTCATGTGGACTAAGATGTAAAAGATTATGTCAGCTTCCAGTTTCTTCAAAGATGTAAATTCTTTTCAGTGTAATGTAACTCCCATTTTGGCTGGTACAGTATATTTGTGGTATACCAGATCACAAATAATGTGGCTCCTTTTATTTTAGAGGTGAAAAAACTTTAGAATGATAACACAACAGTGAACATGAAAAACTTTTTTTTTTCTCCAGATGTGCTTTATTGCTCAGATCCAGGTCGCTCAGCAATATAGTTCACTTGCAGCCAAAAACAACAGCATGCCTGTTACTACTAACTCTGGGAATGCGTCACATTACATTTATTATTTAACATACATAATGGGGCAGACTACTCCTCCCAAAAAACAAGTCTTTTCACTTTTACTTCCTTTCTGCATGGATCATCATCTGGGGCGGATGATGAGTTTTAACCTGGGTCCTGTGAGCTTTACTCTTACTTCCAGGATTTTCAGATTCAGCTAGAAACACCATAGTAAGTCAATTGCAGAAAGAGTTTGACCAACTCATTGAATTAGCAAGTTAGCTACAGCTGATAAAACCTGCTGACAAGGGTTGTCATTTCAGTTGGTGCCAGCTAAAAAGTAAGAAGCATTTGTCTCCTTTTCTTTTTAAATTAAGGATCTACTGTTTCAAAAATGATGAGTTTTGAGTGGCATATATTTCACTGATGTCACTGTAAATTGAATTTGTACTACACTGGATTTCAAAGCTTGACAGGCATAGCAACAGTAACTAATATCCATTTTATATAGGACACAGACACGATGCAGGTCCACTGAATGTACGTTCATTGTGTTTTGGATTTGGACTTATTTGGACTTCATGTGAGACCACAAATGACACTCTCTGGCTGTCACCGATAGCAGAGACTCCAGTCTGCAGTGTAGCTAAAAAAACAGAGAAATACATAGAATAATAATTACATTGAATAAGATACAAATAAAATTAAATGTAAGTTTTACCTCTTTAGATCCGTTCATATAAG